GTGATGATTGTGCTTTTGCTAGTTGTTCAACCATGGGCTGTTGAAATACAGACCAAGGTTCGACTCCTGATGCAATCATTGAACTCACCATAGGCCATTCAACCTGGATGTGGAGTTTTTGAACGGCGTATGGTAAGTTCGCTGATTGCACGTGGAGTCGAACTTGGGTTTATATTTCAATAGTTCATGGGTGTGCTTGACACAAGCAATAAGTACCAAAAAAAGAAAAGAAATAGAAGAGAAAAAAAAACTATCACGTACCTGCATCTGTATCCGGTGCTATTCCAAGCCCAGATGCAGAGGATTTCTCAACCCTGCTGCCAGCACCCACGGAGACAGGTAAGGTGGTTGTCGTTTTTTCCATCTTTTTTTTGTTGCAAGGGCAAATGGCTGTAGATGCAGGTCTGGCCAAAGAAACTGAGCTGGCACCCGTTGAAACAGGAGCCTGTCTCGTTTTTGGAGACCTTCTGTTTCCAAAAACGAGCCAGGCGCTTGTTTCAACAAGCGCTTGCCTTTGCCTCTCATACATGCGTGCTTTTCCGTTTGCACAGCCCGAGCCACAAGGATATCTTACAGTCCGTTTTCTTTTTTCGTTGGGCCCATGGGCTTCCTACTCTTCCCCGAGCCCTGATTTTCTCTTGTGGCGACAAGTTTGTTTTGCTGCACGGCTAGGGCCGTGCACTAGTGGTTTAAGCTTCTTTGGACATATACTAAGTATAAGGAGGAGAGTATTTTCCATTGGGAGGCGGCGATGGACGCATACCTTTACGCGTTGTTGATTCCGTATTGGGATCACGTACTAATGGCAAGTTCGTGCCTAAGGGGAGACTTAACAAGCTTTGCTATCGCCAGTAAAGGAAGCCGGATGCACCTGAATGGTGCAATACTCACAACACACTAGGATTGAGGATTTCTTCAAGGCCTTGAAAGACCGCTTCGAGGATAAGAACTTAGCTTGTCGTACAGAGTCCCTCATCCTTAACATTAGCGATCGCAAGTGGAAGAGTGCGTTGACACTCAAGGCCACTATGGATGAGCTGGTGCAATGTCCGAAACATGGACTGACCCCTGCTCAGATTTTGACTAACTTTGCTAGAACATTGCCAGAGCCCCTCAAGACCTAGTTATATCCCCATACTAAAGAAGAGGGGATGGCCTATGAGAAGCTCAGCAAGATAGTTGTAGACCATGTCGGGTTCCTGCAAGAGGCAAACTATTGCCACTATTGGAAGGACCTGCAAACGGGTAAGAGGTAGAAGAATAAAACCATATCCGTCAGTATATAAGGTAAGGATAATCTGCTGGTCACCTTCGAAGGGGGTGTAGAGTCATTATCGTATGACCAAATAAATTATGGTCTAAAGGAGGAGATCAACAACCACGTAGCCCGGGGAGGGGACTATGCGGCAGTTGCAACCCGTGGGGGAGGGCGGCAAGGTAGAGGCCAAGATAGAGGAGACTGAGGACGAGTTGGAGGTAGAGGACCTGCTGCCCAGAGGGGTGGTGGCAAAGGTAGCTACTACGTGGGAGGTAGGGGTTATGGTCCCTCGCAAGGTGGTAGAGGTTTTCCCTTCATAGGGGGTAGAGGAAGATGTAGGAATTGGCGGTCGTATCCAACACACCTTGGAATAGTTGAGGGCAAGCCCTGGGAAGAGATGGGTATAGACGAGAAGGTTTGGGAGGACTATTGCAAGGCCCACCAATGTTTTAAATGTGGTGACCCTGACCACATAGTTCCCTTATGTCCCGAGTACTGATACGCAAAAGGGAACAGCCAGTAAAGGTTGCAGTTGCCTCTACTGGGACTTCGGACTCGGACGGGAAGATAGAAGCGCGTGCTGAAAAGGCACCCTCTTGTTTGAAGATCCCGATGGCAAAGATTGTTGTAGGCCCTCACCTAGCTAGTTGTTTAGAGGTTGCTTGTGTTAGGACCTCTCTAGGTGGTTCCCTCGCAAGCATTGGTGATGAGCTGATCCCTCATCGCCGCACTTAGGCCAAAAGGAAGAAGAAGTCGAAGGGGCAGCTAATAATAGCAAATGTTGAGGTGAGTAGAGAAAGAATAAGCGCGTTAATAAACTGTGGGTCAATGTGCAGTTGTATAAGTAGAAGAGGGTTGCAGAAGTTGCACCTAGGTATGAAAGAGTTAGATGAGCCGCTCATTAGTAAGTTGGTTGATAATAGAGAGATGATAGTGAGTGAGTATGTTGAAGGGGTTAAGGCATACTTCCGGCTGGAGGAAGGGGGCAAGGTAGAAAAGGTTATGCCCTCCCTGGCACTCTTAGTGGAGGATAGTCTTCCTTTTGGCATGATTCTAGGAACGGATTGAGGCAACGCTGCGTATGCAAATATTGAGATGGGCGAGCACGAGTGTTGGCTGGCCAGTCTTACAGGTGTAAAGAAAAAGTTGCGTATGTATCATGCATGCGGCAAAGAAAATGGTTTGTCCCTATGTTGTATGAGTGCCCCCGTGTTTGTCAGGGATGTGGTCAAGAATAACCTTGTTGAACAAGTGATTGTTGCCTATGTGAGACCGGTTAGTGAAAGGGGGAAAGGAGGACGTGCCCATACCACCAGTGTGCAGAAACTGTTAGATGAGTTCATCGATGTGGGAGAGCCCCCAAGTGGAGTAGTTTGTTGCCTACGTTGAGAGGGAAATAAAGCACCGTATATATATAAGGGCCCCATCTATCGGATGTCTCCCAAGGAGCTCGATGAGTTGTGCAGACAGTTAGACAAGTTAGTAGAGAAAGGGTGAATTTTGCCAAGTTCCTCGCCGTATGGTGCACTGGTCTTGTTTGTGCCCAAGAAAGAAGGCGATGCGTATGTGTATAGACTATAAGGGGCCCATCTATCGGATGTCTCCCAAGGAGCTCGATGAGTAGTTGCGCAGACAGTTAGGCAAGTTAGTAGAGAAAGGGTGAATTTTGCCAAGTTCCTCACCGTATGGTGCACTGGTCTTGTTCGTGCCCAAGAAAGAAGGCGATCTGCGTATTTGTATAGACTATAGGGGACTGAGTGCAATTGTCATAAAGAATGTTGAGCCATTACGGCGGATAGACAATGTCCTGGATAGAGTACAAGGTTGCAAGTTTTTCTCGAAGATGGACTTAAAGGCGGGCTACCATCAGATCGAGGTGTTGCCTAAGGATCAACACAAAACGACCTTTAGAACTTGATATGGCCACTACGAATTTGTGGTCATGCCGTTTGGGTTGACAAATGCCCCATCTACCTTCTAGCTATGTATGAATGAACTCTTCCGTGACTGGTTGGACAAATTCGATGTTTTATATTTAGATGATATTCTAATTTTCAGTCGAATTTCCATTGGTGTGCTGCTGCCTGGGCCTGTCAGTCATGACTTATCATCTGTGGCATATGCCTCTTTGCCTATGAGACATAACCTTTGCCTGCAGAATATTTCCTTTGACTTCGAGACATGACTTCTGCCTGGGGAAAAACGACTTTTGCCTGGGGAAGTGTCCTTTGCCTGTGGGATATGACCTTCCAATATGAGACGTGACTTTTGCATATTTTGCTTCCAGGATGTGACTGTTGACCGGGTGCCTGTTGGACTTGACCTCTGGGCACCCGACTTAGCTTTTCTGAAACTGGCCGACTTGGCCTTTCTCGGCCTGAGACTTTGACCCTGAGATTCAAAATTGGGGTCTGCATCGTGGAATGCCTTTCATTATTCAGGTTGCGATGGCTGCTTGGGAATAAAGAAAGGTAGGTGTAAAGACTTTCTCTTATTGGTTATGTCAGAAGACGAGGAAACATACTAATCTTGAGAACGGAATTGAGAGGAGTTGCAGAGAGCGCTTAGAAGGCCTTGTGGCCGTAGTGAGAAATTTTATCTCATGACGGTTTCCGTTATTTTTGGGAGGCTACTCTTTTCTTTGTGTGTATCATATCCATTTGAGCACATCAAGATCTGAATTGGTAATCTGTCCATCAGTGCTTAGCATACTTGCGGTGCGCATGCGCCTTGCGCTGTGCGCAACTTGGTGATGCACACACAGAGAGAGAGAGAGAGAGAGAGAGAGAGAGAGAGAGAGAGAGAGAGAGAGAGAGAGAGAGAGAGAGAGAGAGAACAAAGGATCCCCTTCACACGTATCAGAGGGTCCATCCCGGTAATCTGAAGGGTCCTCGCACCAAGTTAGCAAGGACCCTCCACCAAACTCGAGGCAGGCAGTGAATACGAAGTGGAGCATGAGCTGGCTGAATATATACTCCGGATTCGTATTCAGGTCTGTGTTTCAGCAGTTATGGGTTGCTCACTTTGATAGGCCCTGTTGGTCGCTGCACGTGATTCTCAGGGCTTGGCTGCAGTCCTTACCAAATGTGCAGAATTAGAATGAATCTTCTGCTAGAATGTTGAATAATACGCCGCCATATGTTTGGTCTTTTGTGCATGTGGTGAGTAGAGGCCCTTAGGGCCACTGCACAGATTCCTAAGAAAAGAAAAACGAGAAAACAGAAGTAAAACGAGAAAACAGAGAATTAGTGACCCATAACTGTGATGCACAGACCTGAATTCGAATCCAGACTATATATTCTCGGTTTTTGTCAGACAAACTAGAAGTCTAATGTCTGTCTCTGCTCCACGAGGGGTCCTTGCTTTTTCGTAGGAGCCCTTTGGAAATGAGACTATACACAATTAGGACATGCACACCCACACACACACACATGTGCTCACAGTGTTGGGGTGTGGGGTGGCCCCAACTTTTTCCCCTCTTGCAGTTTAATTTTCAGAAGCGAGGGGCATGTTTGGCCACCTCACCCCGTCCTTTCAATTTGACAATTTATTTATTATTATTATTTTTTTTGGTGATGCGCTGCATCACGTGCGCGCGCGTGCATGCACGTGCACTCTGTCCTGCATGTGCCGCGACCCCGCGCACGGGATGCGACGCAAGTATGGTGCTTAGATGTATCACTCAACCATGTAGTGTGGGAGTTGTTTGGGAGACTGATGTGTGCTTGTTTGCCAATTTCAGCTCAGCGTACATTTGTTTTGGAGAAGGACAAGGATACTTCTTACAATGCGACAGTGACTTCAGAGAGCGCCAGAGAGTGTCATTTACAAACGGCGAATTCAAGTGTGGGAACACATGTGCTCTTTGGCACACAGGCATGGTTGGGCACGCAGATGCATTTGAGCCCATGGAGGAGGGTCGTGTGTTGCAGTCAGGTATGTGTGCGGATATATACAAGTTCACAAGTGATAAGGCGGAGTGACTAATGATGCACCAGATGAGGATGGAAGTTGTTCACGGAAAGCAAACACTTCTCAGGGCATCCTCAGACTTGCACTTTCCTGAACAAGTTGGGCGAGAATTACAGCGACGTTCAGAAAGCCTGAGTTTAAGTATGTCCTCAATTTTCACTTTTAGGTTGTGTGGCCGCTGAGGCAATCTGAAGCACATTTCATGAAGATTCTGTTGTTGGAGTGATGGGCACGGATCTGCCAAGGCAGAAACTAACTTCCTGTGCAAAAGGCTGAGCTTTACCGCATAATTCTGCATACCATGGCCTCTGAGGCAATCTGAAGCACATTTAATGAA